CCACGTTACGTTATATTTTTATCGAAAAGAAAGAATGGAAGAAAAGAATGAAAAAGAAATGGAAAGGAAAAAGAATAACAACAGTTGCATAACAGTGAGTACAAACTGCCATGTGAAATAAACAGGTCGACCCCGATATGAGTCATACACGACTAACGTTGGTTATCGTATTCTATATCTATGCAGATGGATGGCGCTCTTCAAATGTTGTGAACACATCAACACCTATTCCATCAGATTCACTGCCTTCCAAACATCATCATGAAGACAGTGTTGGTTTTGTATGGGGTTTAACCTGTGGCTCAACGAATTCTCCTACTCCTCACCTTATCCGATACCTGTTACCTGTTTCACCTGTAGTCCCGTTGACCGTCGAGTGACTTGAGCGGGTGCCAGCAAATCTCTCATTTTTCCTTGTCGCACACAACAGTAGCCCAGTGGGCTCTGCTCGCTTTAGGGACTCATCGAGCATCATATCTTTCTTCAACGCTCATTGTGAAGAAATCTGATCATCGAGTCGGTGGTCTTCCTGCAGTACATTTGACATCCCGAGGAAAACAGTCACTAATGACTCTTGCCCATCGACTGCCATTCATACGCTTTACGTGTCCGGCCCACCTTATCTTCGACTGTTTGGCGTAGAGAACGGCATCTTTGATTTTTGATCGTTGACGCAGATCGGAGCTTCGGATCCCATCACTTACTTGTGCGGAACGGGATACTCCTAGCATCGTCGTTTCGACCGCGCGTTCGATAAGGCTGAGTGATGCTTCGTCCTGCTTACGCAGCGATGTTTCTAACTCATACGTTAGAGCAGAAAGTACTGCTGAGTCGAAAAGGTGGGCACTGAGTTGGGTGTTCCTTGTTCTCTTCACTATATAGTCGATGCTCTTAAAAGCTCCGCAAGCCGATAGCCTCCTTCTGCTCAGCCCTTGAGCTAGGTCGTTCACAAAATTGATTTCCCGACCTAGATAGATTTTACTGGAGCATTCGGAGATATTCGTTCCGTTGAGCGTGAACGGAGCATGCGAAACCAAACCGTTCTCCATTAACAACGTTTTTGTGAGATTTAGTCGAAGACCAATGTTCTCACAGGCTATATCAAAGTCGGCAAGCATACGTTCTGCTTGGCTAATGTTTGGTGTTATAAGGACGATGCCATCAGCAAAGCGAAGATAGTGTAATTGCCGACCATCGATTTTCACTCCCAAATTATCCCATTCCAATGTTCGCATGACGTTCTGGAGTGTGGCGATAAATAATTTTGGCGAGATGGTATCGCCTTGCCTAACTCCTCTTTTGACGTCAATGTTAATATCATTGTAGATTGGTGATACTCTGGTTGTGAAATTTTGTACAGCTCACGAAGAATCTTTATGTACTGAGCAGGGACACCTTGACTATCAAGGACTATATTCTTCTATACTTCTACTATACTGCTTCTATCTCAACTGAATCAAAGACCTGTAAATCGATGAAAGTGAGACAGAGCATGTCTTGTGCACTCGCGACTCCTCCAAACCCTGCTCGCTCACACGGCTGCCCTTCGTTTAGTGTTCTGTGAATACTATTTAGGATGACTCGAGTGAAAAGATTGTAGACGACAGACAGCAAGCAGATTGGGCGATAGTTGCCGATATCGTGTAGGTCACCTGTCATGAACAATAACACGGTCTTGATGATCGTCCACTGAGTAGGGACCTTGCATTCAGACAGGTAACGTGTGAACAGCCGAGTCAGTGTGTTTACGAGGACTGGCGGAAGGTTCTTCAG